GCATTGTGTGATCTACCTTGTAAAAATATATTTAGAAAAGTAAATTAAAATATGTAGTATAGGTGTGTGGTCTAGCACACAGGTAAAAATGGGCACTTAAACTGCAGTCTCTCCTGATCGCTTCAGCAGAAACCTAGCTACTTACTTCCATACAGTATCCATAGGAAAGTCTAAGAAGCTTGTGACCATGTCCGCCTCCACTGAAGAAGATTCCTTCCAACATTTAATGCAGGATTATTTCTTACCTGCCTTGGATTCATGTTCCTGACATGAGGGAAGTTATATAATTTTGATCTCTCAGGCCATCTTCAAGACTGGCTAACAGACTTACACATCCTTCCTACAAAAGAGGACTTAAATTCAGCTTCCTCAAATATAAAAGGGATATATTAAAGCACACAGTTGATTACAGAGCAGGCCCCAACTACCTCTGCTGTGACTAGACATAATACCTTCCATTATTGTAAATCATATTGAAGATCTCGAAAACAGATGTTGTCTTAACTGTCAGAAAACAGCCCTGATGACCTCCGATGGTCTCTCAGCTTTTCAACACTGTATCAAGCAGACAACGGCCTCTCACCTCAGCTTTTCAGGAGAAGCGAACCAGTCACCCTACTTATTAGAACCAAGCAGGTCCCTCTTACTTACCTGTGAAAATGCTTTAGTTGGCTTGGCACTTGTTCCCATATTTAGTATTCATGCCCCCTGAGATTGTTGATACACCCAGGAATTCACTGCTGTTATAACTTTTCAATGCAGCTAAATTGCTCTTCCCCACCCACTGTAAATCTACTGTTTCTCCCTCCATGTGTACATTAAATTTGCACACTGGACAAATTGATAGTTAGATGTATACGTTCTACACTGCAGCACCAAAAATCAGCATTTCAGAGACTGCCTCACCCTAAGGGCTGCAAGCCTCAGTCTCTTTCACACAAGCCTTGTAACAACACACTCTAAGAAGAGCTCCTGAGAACTTTAAACATTAAGACTGCAGCACCTAAAATCAGCATTTTGGAGATTGCTCTTCTCTAAGTGCTACAAGGTACATCTGGGACACTCCATCTACACATTGCCCCACCTATATCTGCTGTATTCTCTTTTTGACAATTGCTGTTACTTATGTTTTATATTTTTTTTTTATACTAGAATTCTATGTTATATGCTTACAGATAGAATTCCTATGCCCTAGTATATGGGTCAGCAGGAATATATCTATTCCTTGTCAACTCTATGTACCATTAATTTCCAACGCTTGCCTCTGTCCAAATTGCATCTATTTCACCTTCTAATCTCTTCTCTTTTACAGCAATGGTCTCATTCACACAAGTCTTGTAAGAAAACAAACACTCTTCCCTATCTCCTTCCCCTCCCCAATCCATCTCTAGGTCATGTTTTAATAAATTGACTCAATTAATTACCCAATTATAGCCATCAGCTGCTAGCTCTAGATGACATGGTAATTGTAGTTTGCTCTGACCGCCTACATTTGTACTAATTGTCTGTATTCCTTTCTGAGTCTCAACACAGATCCGAATACTGTATATTAAAATTTGTGTTACATTCAATCTTTTGACTACCATTTTTGTTTAGAATACATTGTTGTGACTACAATACAGCAGTATATTAATAATACATTAGTAGTGATGCTTCAACAGTGAATAACAACTATTTCATATAAGTTTATTCTTTTAATATTCAAGACAACTCAGATAGGATGACAGGTTAGTTAAGGGAAATAACATCCATGAGGCAAGCCTTTAATTTAACTGGAATTGTATATTAATGCAAAACTAAACCTTTTATAATAGTATTAGAAAAAAAAAAAACATTCTTTTCTGAATGAAATTTAAATTTCCTACATCTAAATGCATTGTTTTTCCTAATTAAGTGTACTTATGTCCATCATTTTCCTTTAAAGCTCTTTCTATTTATTACATGTAATAAGACGCTATGTTTTAAAGTATCTATGCAATACTATAAATTCATTTTGATACTGATAACAGTAACTCAGGAAGATAGTGAAGGATTAGTTCAATTGGCTACAATTGCTTTTATAGAGAATCCAATTTGGATTTAAATTACATTTAACTATGAGATATTATCTATTGTAAAATAGGATTATACAGTGACGTACTGCTTGAACTGGCACGTTGGATTTTGACATAATGCAAAATAGCGCATTTAAATCAAAGACTAATAGAGTTATCAGTTGCTTTGCTGGAACATCTGTCAGTACATTTAATTTTCAAAGATTTATTAGAGTTGAATGAAGATGGTGTAGAAAAAACAAAACAAAACAAAAAACCTCCTTTCTGTTCAATTGAACCAAAGAAGACTGCAATGAAAATGATAAAATGTTTTGTCTTTGAGGAATTGTTAGTGCATTGCAAATACCTATAGGAAGAAAGCATTCTAAGAAGGGATGGCAGCTGTATTTTTTTTTTATTATATTGGTGTTCCAGACCTTTGAAAGAATTGCACAGTACATTTATTTTTAGGATGCATGAGAAGTGATTTTTTGTTTGTAAATCGTATGAAGGAACACAGTTTCACCCTCTGTGCTTAGGTGAAACCAGGATTTGATCACCCTCCCCCGCCAGTAATGCATTATAAATAGAATGCATTAATATTTAAAAGAACACATTTAACTAAGTAATAAAAGAATAAAAACATCTTTGAGATTCCTTGTTTGCTACAAATCCTACTGAGTCAGCAGGCACTCCTGGAGTTCAATAGAGCATAGCTCTTACCCAAGATCCATTAAAAGCAAAAGTATTGAACCCACTTCACATCATAATTCAGTTTACAAAAGTATTTACTCAAGGTGAATTTCCTCACATACATACTTGTTAACATCTGTGATAACATTAAATACATTAAATGTATTGGTAGAACCAAAAGTCAATTTTCTATAAGGTATCTTACTATCCATGGAAAATCTGGGGGATATTTATCATAATTTACTTAAACGTGGTAGTTAAATTTTGTAATTATTTTGCTAATTATTTAAAGTAATAAATTACACCACTTTTCTGTTGAAAAAAACTGAGAAATATTCAAAATCTGTATCAATAAAACATGAATAACAAGTTTAACATATTGTGCAAAAACAAAAGAGCCAAACATTTGATTACAATGTGTTGGCAACATTTGGATAAATCTCTCCCTCTGTTGTGTCTTAATGTGTCTTCTATGTATCTTTCACTTCAGGTATTTCACACCGAGATGTATGGGCTATTGGGCTGTTTGTTTGTTTGTTTTTCGTTCCCCACTTCCTGTTCCTGACTGTTGTCAGTTGGTGGAATGTTCTAGGGATGTGAAATGGTGGCTGCAAAAACCCTGTGTAATTTGGCAGCAATATGAGGAACCTGTTTTATATTTATTATAAAATTTAGGACCTGGTTAAACAGAAATAAAGTGACTGTTTTGTACAAGACCTATAACATCAGGAACATCAACAGATTTACCTTTGCTATGTCAAGGCTTACCTTATTTGGAGTCCACACCCTTACAGATAAACACAGCCCGCGGTAACCAGATAAGGAGCTACCTGGGCTGTGAATCTGTGCAGAGGGGCTTAGGCAGGAACAGTAACTGGGTATGTGGAAACAGACAAGGACAAATCCAGAAGAGTAGACAGACATGGTTCCAAAAGTCAGGGCAGGCGGCGAACAAGCAAAAAAAAAAAAATCCAAACAGAATGGGTCACAAGCCAAGTCAGTCTTTGGAAACAGGATAAATGAAACAACGAACTGACAATGTTCTCAGGGAGGGATTGTGTTTTATGTCTAGCTAATGAGTGATCTGCCTCAGGTGAACTTAGATGGACAGGTAAGAGCCACTGGTGAAGTCCAGCCCCCTAGTGCTGGGGCAATGCCAAGAAAACAAGGTTAGAACCAAAGTTTAGAAGTGGCTCAGAGGCAGGAACTCCCCAATCCCCTATTGGTCACTTCTGGGGTGACAACATCTGGATGTCATGGTGAGAACTGTGACATGCATTATCTATAATATACTACTATACTTTTGCTTTTTGTCCCTTTCCTCCTTTTAGGGATTTTTTCAACTTGTCTCTCTGTTAGCTTTATGAAGGATGTTTGTGATTACTCACTAGAAGGTATGTGTGAATGAAGTGGATAATGTTACTCAAAATTTGTGTCAGCATGTTAACTGGCATAACAACTGCCCTTCTATATCACAGGAGATCAGGCAACCATCTAACATAGGAGCCCAGAACTACATAAAATCTTATGCATCCATTCACAGCTACTAAGAACTCTATGGTCCAACAGAGTCTCCATTGTGTTACTTCAGGAAATGCATTTCAGAGACGAGAAACTTTTATTAAAGGGACACTTGCTGACCAGTCCTATACCTTTGCATGTATTTATAGCCCAAACAGGAGACAACACGTCTTCTTGGCCAAGACTCTCACACTACAGGAAAGATTTAGGAATGGTCTGCGGGTGACCTAAGTCAGACCTAAGTCATTCCTCTCCTCCCTCCCCCCACTGTATTCATGCTGCTACTGGTGTGCTGTGGCAGTTGGATTCGTCAATTGCTGGAGGGTGGTACACCCAATGATAGGAATTACACATTTTACTTGGGCGTTCACAGGCTGTACAGTTGACTTGATTACATTTTAGTGGCCCAGGAATATCTCCCACTCCTGGTTTATGGCATTGTTTGTGGTTCAGACCACTCCCCAGTGTTAGTTGCTCTACAATCCCCACTATTTAAGCCCAAAGAGTGACAATGGAAACTGAATGAGAACCTGCTTCTGGTCCTGGAAGATTTGACACAGACAAGACAGGTTCTCACTCAATATTTTAAAATGAATCTCCAGATACTCCTGCACTGACAGGATAGGAAGCACATAAGTGTAGAGATGTCGCAAACTGTCCGCGAACTTCTGGCGAACGGTTCGCCGCGGTTCGCCACAAGCTGTTCGCGGCGAACTCCGGTCAGCTGACACGTCCCGGCCAATCTCCAGCAGACCCTCCCTCCCCAGACCCTCCTACTTCCTGGACAGTGTTGAAACATGGATGCTGTCCAGGAAGTAGGAGGGTCTGGGAGGGAGGGTCTGCTGGAGATTAGCAGGGACGTGTCAGCTGACCTGAGTTCGCCGTGAACAGCTCGTGGCAAACCGTTCGCGAGAAGTTCGCGGACATCTCTACATAAGTGCGTCATACGCGGCCATTATATTAGCATCTGCACACAGCGTAAGAAAGACAAGTCCAGGCTCACCACATACTAAGTCCAACAGCTAGTGTACCTGGAACATAAACACAAACAGACCCCAACCGATGACATTTATCTCAAATTAACTGATACGTGCAGGCAAGTCAGGGATCTCCTCTCTCAGAAACTATTACACACATTGAGAAAATCTGGTAGATTGTTCTATGAATACTCCAATAAATGTGGCAGGCTGTTAGCACAGACACTACAAAAGAAATGCAGGTTGCACCACGTTCACATGATTAGGACCCAGGGACAGAAGGTAAACAGGCACCCAGCCGACATACTAAAGGCTTTCCAAACATATTGCTTCTGGGAGTTGACAAGATGCCTTTTAAATGTGTTGCTAGTTGGGAGAGAGAAATGAGTGTGACACTGACTGAACAGGAGTGGGACAAGATTTTCACACTGACCCACAAATGCTCTAAAACCCAAGAGACCTGTTACAAAATTTTGACTTACTGGTATAGGACCCTATTGCTTGGCAGGATAGCGCTGGAGATGGGGGACAGATGCAGGAATAGGTGTACACATTTGGTGGTAATGCACATCTCTCACCCCTTTCTGGAAAATGATATATTCTAAAACATCACAGACCCGGATCAACTAATGCCCATGCTCCTACACCACACGAGACAGCCGATCAGGATCTACAAAAAAAAATCACTAACCGTACATTTGTTGACCTTAACTAAGACATTGATACCAACTTTGTGGAAACAGAGGGGTGTGCCAACCTTCCAGCAATGGGTGGCCAGAGTGGAGGATATTTGTACTATGGAGATGCCAACTGCAGCGCTAAGAGGTACAGCAGATAAATGGGTTTAGACATGGGCCACATGGTTCGACTTTGTGTTGAAAAACAGGACAAAACCTTGAGTGACAGACATTTCTTGACGAAGCCCACGACTCCTATGCGGGCACCAACTTCTCCCGACCACCTTACCTACCTACTTATACAATGCCCCCCTTTTTTCTCCAATTCTTTCCACCTCTTCTGCTCACTCTGATCCCCTTCCTGCTCCCTTCCCATTCCAAACTCTCTATTCCACATTGTGCTACCTAGATCCAAGGATGAAATGCTGCCCCCACCCCACCATGCACCAAAAGCACACCAACATTCATTATGTTATGTAGTGTGTGTGTAGTGGATGCAATGTCTGTTTGTGTAGTGGATGCGGTGTGCATCATATGCAGTGTGATGTGTGTGTTTGCAGAAATGCATTGTGTGTGTGTGTTTAGTGAATGCAGTGTCTGTGTGTCGTGGATGCTGCGTCTTATTGTGTCATGGATGTAGTGTGTATTGTATGCAGTATGTGTATTGAATATATTGTCTGTGTAGTGGAGCCAATGTATGTGTTTAGTGGATGCAATGTTTGTGTGTTGTGATGCTGCGTCTGTTATTGTGTCATGGATGTAGTGTGTATTGTATGCAGTATGTGTATTGAATATATTGTGTATAATGGAGGCAGTGTGTGTAGTGTATGTAATGTGTGTAGTGTTGGATAAATGCTGGGGGGTGAGCACTCTAAATTAAATTTGGCTTATCCCCCCTTCCTGCCTCTTACCTGTGTAGGAAGGTGAGAGAATACGGGGAACAGTGTGTAGGAAGGTAACTGTATAGGGGGGCAGTGTGAGGGGGAAGTGTGTGGGAAGGCTGTGGGGGCAGGATGTGGTGGTGACAGTGTGGGGGGTAGGATGTGACAATGGCAGTGAGGGTGACAGTGGTGGGGGTAGGGTGTGGGGATGACAGTGTAGGGGGCAGGATGTGACAAGGCCAGTATGGGGGTGACAGTGGTGGATAATCTGTAGTTTTGGGGGTGGGGTGTGATAGCGACAGTGTTGGGTGGCAGAGTGTGGAGGTGAGAGTGGGGAGCAGCATGTGAGGGTGACAGTGGTAGGGGGCAGGATGCAAGGGTTTCAGGTTGACAGTGAGGTGACAGGATGGGATGTGACAGTGGGGGTCAGATGTGAGGGTGACAGTGTCAGGGTGACAGTGGGAGGGCAGGGTGTGAGGGTGACAGTAAAAGAGTTGTGGGGCAGGGTGTGAGGGTGACAGTGTGGGGATGACAGTGGTGGATTACAGGATGTGAAAGTGAAAGCGTGGGGACAGAATGTGAGGGTGATAGTGTTGAAGTGACAGTGTTGGATTACAGGATGTGAAAGTGACAGTGGGTCGAGGCAGGATGGGAGGGTGACAGTGACAGTGTGGGGGTGACAGTGGTGGATAATCTTTAGTTTTAGGGGTAGGGTCTGACAGTGACAGAAAGGAGGTGACAGTGGTGGATGGCAGGGTGTGGGGGTGACAGTGATGGAGCAGGATGGGAGGGTGACAGTGTGGGGTAACAGTGGTGGATGGAAGGGTGTGAGGGTGACAGTGGGGGGCAGGGTGTGAGGGTGACAGTGTGGTGTGGCGGGAGTTGGGGCAGGATGTGAAGGTGACAGTGTGGTTGGCATGTTGATGGGGTGACAGGCTGTGGGGAGGCTGGTTACATAAATGTTTTTTTCATTGCTCCATTCACTGGTGGTCCAGTGGCTGGCTCTCTGATCTGAAGCTCCACCTGCTGATTAGAGCATTGCCATGGTAAACAACGGCAACACTCTGGGAGCTCGCATATATATATGCAGAAGAGGCGGCCCGGGCAGCAAAAATGCCGCCCTTGTTCGTCCTATGGACGGGCCAACCCTGCTGATACATGTTTAATGATGGGTAGTTTCTGTACAGATGGCATAAACACCCACATATATACCACCAATGGCTCTGATACTCTGGCTGTATAACTACCTTCTAATAGGAATATGCTTTGTAAATGATCCGATGAATAACGCACTGTAATGAACCTTTGTTCAGAGCACTGACCTGATTTGCTCACTCGATGCAATGTGATTTTGTGTTAATATCTCTGTTCTCGACTATATAGTAACCTGTATTTTCTCTCGTATTAACAAAAAAATTAAATAAAGTTTGTAAAAAAAAAACACCTTATACGTAATTGTGTAGTAATAAGTAACCAATCTTTCAGTAACCAAACTACACTTTTGTGAGTGTCCAATATTAACCATCTATGCAGGGCAAATGGGGCAACTGCCCAGGGTCCTTTTACTTCTGGCTGGCCCAAGGCAGCTCTTACTCCTCCCACCCCCATGGGCCTCAGGTGCCTCTTGGAGCCCCCACATTAAGGAGGCTCACTGAATGGCCCATGCACTAGGGGCCACCCGGTGGGCCCCATTGCTTTTTGGCAGCATTGGAGGAAGTGACTTCCGTGAGTAACTTCCTCCCAGAGAGGGCAGCATGGGAAAAAAACAGAGAGGCAGAGAGGAGGGAGGGCTGAGCCGGATTGCCAGTCGGCAACCCCCAACAGCCTCAACCACCACTCTGGACACCAGGGAATCCTTCAGTGTAAAATGTGTAAATTTTGCATGTGTGTGAATATGTCAGTATGTGTGTGTGTCTGTCAGTGTGTGTGTCAGTATGCTTGTCAGTATATGTGTGTGTGTCAGTATGTTTGACAGTGTATGTGTCTGTGTGTGCGTCAGTATGCCTGTCAAGGTAAGTGTCTGTGTGTGTGTCAGTATGTCTGTCAGTGTATGTTTGTGTCAGCATATATGTCAGTGTGTGTGTGTCTGTCTGTCCAGGGGTGGACTGACCACTCGGGCACATTGGTCATGGACCGATGGCCCGTGGCAGTCAGAGGCCCGGAGCAGTTATGGCCAGGCTGGGGAAATTGAATGGTCTCCCCAACCAGCCCAGCATCAAGGCAGCAAAGTTAGTGAGACCAGTTCCCCCAGTGGGAAAGTGGGAAAGCTCTGTGTTGGAAAAGGAGAGGGGATAGGAAGTGACATCACATCCCTTCCTCTCTCTTACACAGATACAGAGCTCCCGCCGCATGTATGAAGCTGAAGGAGGAGGAGGAGCTGCGATGATTACAGTGACATGCTGCTCAGGGGAGGACGGTGAGTCAGCCTGAATAGACTGAAATGCAAGGTAAGATGGGGCAGAAATAGCAGTGTAGGCACCAGAGAACGGCTTTGGGAGGAGGAGGATAATTTAAAGGAAATGGGGGCATGGTTGGAGACACAAACAAAGAGTGACTAAAAGATGAGTAGACATCAAACACTCAGCAAATGTTCACACAAATACAATCAATTATGCACACAAACTGACACATTGCTCAAAGACACACGATGTGCGCTTCCTTCCTGCCGATCCATTATATCTTGCGCCCCTGGCTGGTGCGCCCTAATGGATGGCAGTGCTTCAGCCACCAGAGGCTCTCTATAGAGCACTCAGGTGGATGCAGCATGAGGACACCCTAGATGACTGCCTAAGTCGCCTATAGGAAGGGCTGGCCCTGCCAGGCATTTATGCACACATCAACACTCCATAGAAATACACCCTTGCATTTACACAAGCATTAACAAATCAAACATAATACATTCCTGCTTTTATTGAAATTTGGCTGAAAAACACTGCTGCATTTACACCATACTTGAAGTACAGGTATGTATATACAAAAAAGCACATGCATTGACATGGACAAAGTGCAATATTGTTCACAATGATTTTAACACTCTGATACAAACATGCCATCATACACATAGCCTCACAGCATATACAAATAAAAAATGCTCACTTACTTGAAACATTTTATTAATACTGGCATAGGGGGATCAAGAGGGGATTTTGCCCAGGGGCCCAGAAGGCTGTCAGTCCGCCCCTGTGTCTGTCAGTATGTCTATATGTGTGTCTGTCAGAATTTGTGTCAATATGTCTGTCTATATATATATATATATATATATATATATATGTATATATATATATGTGTATATATAAATGTGTG